TGGGGCGTGGGGACCCGTGGGGACACTTGGTCCCCGCGCCAGCACCCATGCAGGTAATGGCAGGAGGAGCCAGAGGGACCTCGGTGGTGTTGGAGAAGGCTGGGGGGTGGGAGCTGGGGCTCCAGGACCCCTAGGATGGGTTCATCCCTCCTGGGCATACATCCAACGTGAGCCCTGGGCTTGCCTAACCCCCAACCCCGTCACCATGCAGGTACCAGAGCCAGACCCCCGGGTTGTCACAGCCCCAGCCCCCCGAGTGTCATCCCAAGCCCCTGCCCTGGCTGCGGGGAGATGTTGGCCAATCCCTTCTCCCTCCCTCCAGAGATAAAAGGGGTGTGTGGCACAGGCAGGCAGGTTTTGGCAGCTGGGAGGGACATGGCATGGCCAGCATGGTGAGGCTGGTGGCGGGGGTTGGACATGCTGGCAGGACCCCAAATTGTCTGCAGCATCTGAGCACCCGGGTGTCTGCTGCAGCCCTGGCTCGTGCAGGGACCCCAGGTCCCGTCACCTGCTTAATCTGGGCCCCATAAAATGGCTTGTTTCTCCTCCTGGCCAGCGGCCGTCCAGCAGAGCCAACAGGCTCCATCGGCTCTCTGTGCCCCGGTGCGGTTGACCTCCGGGTGTGCATCATGCCATGGGCTGGCCCCTCCTTGGGGACCGAGGTGGAGAGCTGAGCCCAGGGAGGTGGCTGGGGCAAGAGGTGCAGAGTCAGACTAGGAAACAGGAAAAAACACCCAGGTCGCAGCCTCAGATGGGTGATTGGGCAAAGAGATTTCTGGGTCTGTGGAGTCCCCACCACCCCTGGGGTCCTGGCTTGCTGAGGCACGTGGGGCGGGTGAAGCTGAAAGAATCGGTTAAAGACAAATCCCACTGTCCGTGGGGTTGCTCTGGGCGGTCTGGGACAGCTCTGGATCCTGCACATCTCCAGCTCCTCCCCAGAGAGCACAGCGCATCCCCATCCCTGTCCCTGTCCCTGTCCCCATCCTCAGCCTGGGGGCTGGAGGTGACCCCGCAGCCTGGTCCTGGCCCACCGCCCCGGCCATTCCCAAGCCTGGCTCCCTGGGAAGGGCTTTTGGAAGCACCCAGGGACTTGGGAGATATCCTAGGTGCCGTGGGCAGCACCTCCTCCCGCAGCGGGCCAACCTCCACTGGTCCCACAGGGCTTCCCGAGCCATGCTCCAGCACAACCTGTTTAACCGCAGATTTAATTAACGGACCTATTGTTTGAGGGTGGTGGTTGGGTGAATTTCTTTTTTTTTTTTTTTCTTGCTCCCAAGGGCTGATCCCAGCTCTCCACCGTCACTGGTGACTATGTTGCTACCCCGAGCAATGGTGGGTTGCGTTTGCCAGTAAAGCTCGGGGTGATACGGGAAGTCCTTGTCCCCATGCTCATCCCCCTCGGCTGCACCGTCCGCTGCTTCCCCAGGCTCCAGATGGGGCTGAGTCCCTGCAACCCTGTGGAGCTGAGCCGTGACCCAGCACCACCCAAAACCGGGGGCTTGCCGCTGGCCCCATGCCTTGGGGAGCACAGGGAGCCCTGTCCCAGCCCTGCCGCCGTGGACTTTTTTGCTCAAAGGGAATGCGTGGATTCATTTTCTCAGCCGCTGTTGGAACCGTTTGGGGCCGGGCTGTTGCGGTGCCCTTCGGTGGCAGCCGCTGCCTTTTCCTCCTCGCCCCGCTCCATGCTGCTGTGGGGAACAAGCCCTCGTGCCGGTAGCTCAACCCTTTTCCACAGCATCCCCGTGGTGCTGGTGAGAGCAAGGAGCAGGGGCACCTTATGCCCATCCCAGCTGGTTGGGGGGGTCCCCTCCATATCCGTGGGTAACACCGGGGAGCAATGGAGGGTCACTCCTCCTTCTGGGCTCAGGGATGGCAGGTACCTCCCGGCTGTGCCGCAGTGGCAGAGCTTTATTGTGGGCACGGAGAAACACTTGGGGGACTTGATGGCTCCATCCCTGTTTGGGATCTGCTCCTCTGTGCTGGAGCCTTGCCCGCCCATGTCGGGGTTGCAGGCAGCACCCGTGCGTGGGGAGGGCTCAGTGAAGATGCCGGTGCTGGGACGGGTGTCCTGCAGGCAGCACCCCACTCTGCCTGGCACCCCAGGGACGGCACCGCTGTCACTCGGAGCCTCCCCACGGGCTGCTGAGCCCCTGGCACCACGTCTTGGCCCCTCTGCACCCACGGAGGCAAAACCTCGGGGTTCTGCTGGGCTTTTATAACTCGGTGGCAGCTGTTTCAAGTGTTGCAAGAGCTGATTCCCCGATTGCTTCTCCTCTTGCCTGGAGTGGTGGGATGAGCACGAGGCTGTGTTGGTGTGGCTTTGCCACAGGCAAGCTCCGGTGCAAAGCCCAAGGCACCGGGGCTGTGCTCACCGCCAGCAGCGTGCACAAGCCAGGGAGCATTTGCCAGGGCTGATGCAATTACCAGTGCAGCCTTGTTTAGCTTGGGTGGGGAACATAAAGGTTTTTGGAGTGCCATGTACGTCAGTGCTCCCTGTGAGCATCTCAGTGCACCCGGGGCTGCCTCTCCAGCTCTTCTTTTCCAGGGAAATGCAAAAAAGGGAGAGAAGAGGGAAACAGCTGCCCAAAGCAGCTTCTTAGAGCAAACAGGTCCCCACCCAGCCCGGCCGCCTGCGTGCCAAAGCGGGAGAAAGTCAAACAAAGGCCCCCGCCCTGAGAGTACAGCACCGGTTGGCTGGTGATTGCTCTGGCTTTTGGGGCCACTTGCCCAAGGGATCGGGTCCTTCTGGTCCCACCTGGGAGGAGCGGGACGGGATGGGGATAGGGATGGGGCCATCCATCCTATCGTGTGCCCAGGGATGGCTCCACAGCCCTCCATGTGTCCAGTTTATGGCTGCGGGAGTGAAGCCCAGCGGAGATGGGATGGGCAGAGGGTGTACCACAACCCCGGAGGCATTGGGGATGAGACCCCCATCCCCTCCCCAGAAAACCCCTGCAGCCGGCACTGTGCAGCGGGCTGGAGCTGCACAAGCTGTTACCGCTTCCCTTTTGTGCCGGGAGCAGCATGAGGCTGGATTTAGGGCTGATCTCCTAAAGCTCTTCTTTTAATCCAGAGCAAATCAAGGAGAGGTTTGGAAGCCGGCGCCATCTCTCAGGGAAACTGTTTGAGTGGTGGGGGCAGCTCAGTAGCGAGGGCACCCCTTCTCCCTCCTCTTCCTCACTGCGGTGCCACCGAAACCCCTCAGGGATGTGGGCTCCAGCTCCTGAACCCGCATCCCCTCCCTGGGTCCCCATGGGGTCAGGGTGGCATGGGTGCTGTTAAGATGGCCATGGTTCCTCCATGGTGTTTTTCCAAGCTTTTTGGGCTTTTCCAAGGGTGAAATGATGGGCAGAGCTTCCTCATGGTGCAGGTAATGCAGAGTTTCAGAAACCATACTTCTGAGGGCATTAAAATACTCAGCATTAACTCATCCCTGAGAGCAGGACATGGCAAGTGCTGCCCATCGGTACCACTCTGGTTAACGGGGCTGCGGTGCGTGGCTATTAATGAAGTTTAATGACCCGCCACACCTCCGGGAGCAGAGCTGGGGCCAGCAGCGTGGAGCTGAGCAGCATTTGGCATGGCAGAGCTGCGGGGATGGTAACACACCGTCCTGGGTGCTCAGTCACTAGTGTCCCTCCTACGCCAAGCAGCCGGCTGCTCGGCTCCCCATGCTCGAGGGATGTGCTCTGCCCAGAGGAACCCAATAGTGTCTTTTCCTCTTTCATTTTTTAAACCTTTTTTTCCCCCCAGCTGGGATTTAGAGCAAACAGGGCACCCTCTTTCCCTGGCCACTGTCTCCCGTTCCCCTTTGGGGGCTGCCTGGTTTCCTTAGTGGGGTTTGGGGTTGGTTCAGGCTTTGCACGCTCCTTTTTTTATTGCAGGCTCCATTGCAAAAGCTGCTACTTTTTCTGCTTTTAAATTACCAATTTGGGGTGGGTTGTTTTTTTTCTTCTTGTAAAAAGCAATGCCGAAGGCAAGCAAGGAGCTTGGCAGTGCCCTGGTCGTGCCCATCACCAGCCTCTCCCCTGGCAGGGGCTTTCTCTTCCCAAAGCCTCAGGATGGCTCTTGGGGAGGTTTCTCCACGGATGGAGCCATTCCCTGGTGTTGCCATGGAAATTCAGCAGGCTCATCCTCTTTTCCACGGCCTCCAGGACGCCCCGCATACTGTAGACAGATGGGGACGGGCTGATTTTAGGTAGTTTTTCTTGCAAGAGAGTAAAAGGAAAGTTCTTGTCCGAGGGTTGGCAGCAGCGGCCAAGCGCTGGGTGCTGCGGTGCTGGGCTCGGTCCCTGGCCTGGGCGAGCCAGGTTTGGGTGCTGTTGTGCTGGGGCATCCTCGGGTGAAAGCAGCAGGTGATGTTTTCCACGCACAGAAATGTGCCCGTGTGGTTTAGGCATCTTTTGGTGCCCACGGGCCGCCCTATGCAGGTGCCTTGGAGCCCCTCCAGCGTGCCCCGCTGCTTCCCGCAAGGGCGTTCAGCACCAGCTGGGACTGAACTGTTGCCAACCTGGTGCGCAATTCGTGGGAAGACCCTAAAAGCCCACAGTGGTCGGGACCTGCTTGCCCCCAGGCTCCTTCTCCCTGCCAGCTACTGCGGCTCGTCCTCCCAAAATCAGGACAGCCCCCCCCCAGCCCCATGGCTGACCCCGAGCCTGCATTCATCCGGGTGCTCATAGGGCACTGTGGGTCTCTTTGGAGGTTTTTTCCCCTCTAACAGGCTTAGTTCCTCCCTTTGTGCCTGGCTGCTGGGCGGGAAGGCAGGAATCGGTGCTGGGGTGAGCCTCTTCTCCTCTCCTCTCCCGGCAGGTTTGGAGCCGGCGCTGAGCGGAGGGATGGGCAGCGCCAGTCCCGGGCTGACCACTCTGCTCCACAGCCGCCTCGCCCAGCCGGACGCTACCCTGCTGCCCCCCCCCCAGGACCCCGACACCCGGAGCTGGGGCTGCCCGGATAGCCCCAGCCCCCCCGCCACCCCTGAGCAGCCCCTGCCTGCTTTTTGCCTGCACTACTTCGACATGCTCTACTCGGAGGACATCGCCTGGGCCACCAAGGGCATGGGGGAACCATCCCAAAGCGGTGCCCAGGAGGGGCGAGGGGAGGCACAGAAGGAGCCGGAGCAATGTCCCATCATCGATAGCCAGGGTTTGGGGCTGGGGGCCGAGGGGGACCTGCAGGCCAGCCTGCACCTGGAGGAGCACTCGCTGGAGCAGGTACAGAGCATGGTGGTGGGCGAAGTGCTGAAGGACATCGAGACGGCCTGCAAGCTCCTCAACATCACCGCAGGTGGGTGCTCCCACAGCCCTCCTCGGGGGGCTGCGGGCAGGGTCAGCTCCGCCGCGGGGTGCAGCGAGGGAAGGATGTGCCGGTGAGGGGACTAAAGCGGTGCTGCAGCTCGGGGGTTTGCGATCAGGTGCTGGGGGAGCACGGCTGCTGCCTGGCTCACCCGGGCATCGCTCCTGGGCAGGGCTGTTTGCTTATGCCCAGGGATGCCAGCAAAATACCGCTCTGGCCTCGCCGGCTTGGAGTTCAGCTGAGGCAGGCGTCAGCAGAGCTTTACCCAGAGCCCTGTGCTGGATGTGGGGTGCCAACGTGACCCAGTTGGTCCCACAGGACCAGAGAGGTGCAGGGACACAGCGACCCCGATGCTGAACCTGTCCCCTGCCCTGAGCTGGGGGTCCCTTTCCCTCCCAGGGCAGCGTTATCGAGGTGCCTTTCAGCCTTGCATGCATCTTGGGGAGGGTGTGCGGTAGCAAGGAGCAGACAGCAGGACTTTTATTATCCTTTTCTCTATCCTGTTTTCCCTGGGACATTAGGACTGGGCAGATGAGCGTGTGGGGCTGGGGACAGCCTGGAGCCAGCTGGCATTACCCGAACTGGGCATGGAGTTGGGTGCAAGGGGAACAGGACAGCCCAGGATCGAGTTCCCTGGGGTATTGCTGCCACTGGGCATCGCTGGGGTATTCTCCTCGGGGCATCGCTGCCGTGACACAAGCAGTCTCGGGATGCGCTTTGGTTTATGCAGGCTCTGCCACCCACTCCCTTAAAGCATTGGTGTCTCCTGGGATGGTGCAGGGAGCAAGCAGGGCTCCAAAAGGCTGGATGAGGCTTCCCAAAGCGAAGGAGGTGGCAAGGGGACAGTCTTGTCCCCGGGGACCAGGGCAGGCTAGGTGCTCCCACGCTGGCGGGTGATGTTGCAGCAGCACAGGAGGGGTCAGTTCCCAGGGCTGCTGTGGGGTGAGCTGAGTTTCCCCGGGCTTTGCCTGGGCTGTTGCCGGCCACGCTCACCCTCTGCCTCCAGACCCAGCGGACTGGAGCCCCGGCAACGTGCAGAAGTGGATCCTGTGGACGGAGCATCAGTACCGGCTGCCGCAGATTGGGAAGTCCTTCCAGGAGCTGTCGGGAAAGGACCTGTGTGCCATGTCTGAGGAACAGTTCTGCCAGCGCTCACCCGCCGGCGGCGACATCCTGCACGCCCACCTCGACATCTGGAAGTCTGGTAGTCTGGAAATCTGTTGGGGACCGGGAGGGAGGGTGCTGGGAAGGGTGGGTGATGCTGTGCAGCGGGAGATGCCCCTCTGACTGCCTGCTTCTCCCTTCTAGCCGCCTGGATGAAGGAAAAAGTCGCCCCAGGAGATATGAGATACTGCGGTGAGTTCTGCGCGGGCTCAGCTCCATTGGCCTCGCTTCTGCCTCAGACAGGTCCAGGGTATTTGAGAGGTGGCTCCCTGCTTAATTGCAATTATCTGGTGCATTGGAGCGGCTGATGCAGCGGCATCCGTATGGTTGCACTCCCTCTGCCCCAGAGCAGCCCCTGGGGTCTCTGCGAGGTGCAGCAAAGGGGAAATGGCCACGAGACCCTCACTGGCCCTGTCCTGCAGCCCATGCATCCCTGTGGGGCTGCACAAGGGCAGGACCGAGCTGTTTTCCCCGCTCCAGGATGAGGAGGAGAAAGCGGCGCTGCCAGTGCCTGGGCTGAGTTCCAGAGACCCACAGGCATCGAGCCAGGATTTCCCGGACGAGGACTCGTGCGGGTCTCCCCGGAGCGGTGCAAAGCAGAGAGGTCTCTCCCCACCCCCATCTCACCCATCCCCATCCCTTCCCGTGACAGGAGGTGATGCCAGCTGGGCGGACAGTGAGGTGGACTCGTCCTGCGCTGGCCAACCCATCCACCTCTGGCAATTCCTCAAAGAGCTGCTGCTGAAACCCCACAACTACGGTCGCTTCATCCGCTGGCTCAACAAGGAGAAAGGTAGGTGGGTGGGTGGGTGCTCCTGCGGTCCCGGGGTGGGTGCTGGGGGCGGGCAGGTGAGGTGGTAACCCCCCCATGCCCCGCTCCCCTCCCAGGCATCTTCAAGATCGAGGACTCGGCGCAAGTGGCCCGTTTGTGGGGCATTCGGAAGAACCGCCCAGCCATGAACTACGACAAGCTGAGCCGCTCCATCCGGCAGTATTACAAGAAAGGCATCATCCGGAAACCTGACATCTCCCAGCGCCTCGTCTACCAGTTCGTCCACCCGGTCTGAGCGGTGGCGGTGGGACAGGCTGAGCCCTGGCAGGGGCAGGGGACCTTCACCACCTCCCACTGCCTCCCAACCACAGAAACCATCTTCCAGCGCTAAGGACGGCGGCTGGGGTGCCGAGAGGCTCACCCCACCCAGGACCTGCTGGCAACAGACTGGGGGACCCCCTCCCTCAACCCCAAGCCTTGGAGGGGAGGGATGAGCCCCCAGCTAAGGGACTGCCACCAACATGCCCTGGTGCAGGGCAAGGACCATGCAGAGCCCTCATCTCCTGCGAGCGCTTCCAGGGGAAGGTGGGCATGGAATTTGGGGCCAGCAGACGAGACGTGGGGTTGATCGGGGTGAGATAAAGGCAGATGAATCTGTGGCTGTCGCGGGGCTCCCCACAACCTCGGTGCCCTTTGGCAGGGATTGAAGGTGGGAGAGTGGCTGGGGTCACCCAGGGGAGGAGCTGGGGGACACAGAAGTCCCGTCCCCCAGGTCTCTTGCCCCCCCGGCACATTGTCCTCTCACCCCGCAGCCCCAGGGCATCATCAGGACACAGGGGCCAAGGGCACATCCCAGCAGGAGACCTCAACACCCCCATGGCATCATGCCCCAGGGCTGCTTTGGGGGGTACATGACTGCACCAGGGACACACTCCCCTCCACCCAGATCCTGTCCCCATGCCACCACTGGCCCAGCTGTGGGACCAGTGCCCATTGGGAGTGACCCTATGCCCTGCAGCGGGGCTGCCCTGAATTCACCCTGGCAAGCAGCTCCTGGCCCTCAGCCCTGTTCGGGGTGGGGGGCAGCGTGGTGGGGGGGCTCTGCCCTTTGCTGCACCTCAACCCTCAGCTGCAAAGAAAGGGGCTGCCTGAATTTTAGGGGGGGGTGGCTAGGCTCGTCCCTCCTTCCTCCCCTCCCTCCTGGGTGCTGGCTGTGGGTGGCTTCACCCTGGCCATTGTTCAGGGAGGACAAAGCCCGGGCATGAGCGGGGACAATGGCACCCATAGGGACAATGGCACCCGCAGGGACAAGGGCACCCGCAGCTGCCCTTGGCTGGGTCCACGCTGACCCGACCCGTGCGGGAGCCGCCTGGCACCGGCAGCACCGCGGCACCCAGGGATGCTGCCTGCCATGGGAGCTGGGTGTGGGGTAACTGCCCTGGGTACCACGGACATTCCCTTGGGATAAGAGCATCCCCATCCCCGCTTCCCGCTCTGGGATATGCTCGGCTTCTCCCCTCCACAGGGATTCAGGGCTGAAAACGGGCGTTTTGCAAAGGGAGCAGCTGGAAAATGTGGGCATGGGGCCGTGCATGCTGGGGCATCCCTGCAGGAGTGGGGGGTCCCCCACCCTTGGGCACGAGGACACCCAGAGCCCCCTGAAGCCCCCAGGCTCTTGGCCCTGGCACAGGGCTCTTCCCTTGATTTGGATTTTATTTGGACTGCCTGATTCCTGAGTTTGGGAAAAGGGAGATGGCAGCTTTGCCATTTCCCTCTGGACCGTAAATCCGAAACACAACCCGCCGAGCCCAGACGGGGACGGAAAACTGGGGATTGCTTAAACTGCACATTTCACAAGAGTCTAAGTTACCTGGCAATGTTGATCTTTTATATTATAATTTTTTTATTTGTTTATTTGCTTTTTGGTTTTTGCTGGTGGCAAGTTGTGGTTTAGGTTCAAATGATGAGGGTAGACGGGCCCATGTACCCACGAGATGCTTTGTGGGAGTTTAAAAGGAAAAAAACCACCTGGTTCTTGGTCTTCTGTTTTTAACTTAAAATAGCTGCCTGTGACAGCTCCTGCCTTTTTCTTTTTGTTCTGCCTGTTTCATACTGTTTACATGGCAGAGGAGCAGATGCACTTCGGCCAGCCTTGCAAGCATCCCAGCTGGAGGGCGGCTGCAGGGAGGAGAGGAGCAGGGGAAGGAGGAAAACTGCCTTGGCCTCTGAAAAAGGGGAAAAAAAAAATGTGGGAAAAAAAAGCAGCAAAATGTGTCTTCTGATTTCCTGCGTGCGACCACTGCTCCCGCAGCCAGCGCGGGGAGCACCAGGAGGATGGGCTGGGGATACTGGTGCCCCAAATCCTGTGTCCCTCTCACAGGTCCTTTGGTGAGGTGGGTGAAGGCCGGTGGTTGCATGTCCCTGCAGGGAAGGTGGGCAGGAAGGGGGTTAAATGGCGAGGAAAGCTCCTGCCAGCTGGGGAGGGGGCACCCAGGGACACTGTGTCCCCAGGGACGAGGGGACCTGACCCAGCAGATGCCCACTGCAGCAGGACAGGCAGTCAGCGCCGCAGGACTCACAGCCAGGTTTCTCCCCAAACCCCTTGCAGCTCCAGCCCTTAAATAAGGGGAAATAAATCCCTTTTCTCTGCCCCCTCTCCATCAGGAGCCCAGAGAGTGCCCCCCCCATGCCCCAGAGGGTCCCACTCCCTGTGCCCCGTACCCCTCGGCCACTGCCCTGTCCTGGGGCTTCCCCAGCTCTCTGGGGAGGGAGACGGGTGAGTGACCTGCACGTTGGTTTTCCTAAGGTTTTGAGGCTCATAGGCAGCCTGGGGGGCACTATTCCCTCTGCCAGCATCAACTCGCCCCGTCGGGATTTCCCCATCTGCCCCTGCCCGGGGTACTGGGGAGCACTGGGTTGGGGGCTGCTGCTTTTGCTGGCACTGGGAATGGCCCCCAAAACTGCTTTATCTTGAATCCTCCCATGGGCTTCACAAGGCTTTGCCTGGCAGGTTGACAAGGGGGTCCCCAAAGTCAGTGGCTGCTCCCCCCCTCCCACAGCCCCTTTGTCCCCCAGGACCCCAGCAATGCAGCTGAGCCCCCCATCCCACTGCACCCCAAAGTCTCAGAGTGGAGGCATCCCTACTTTGGGGGTGCAACAGCTGCGACTGTGGCTCCTCAGGGTGTCGGGGGGCTCAAGCACCCGCCCCGGGCAGTGGGGTCCGTAACCCCAACAGCCACCTCCATGGGGGAGTGAGACCGGCGCACAGAGGCAAACGAGGACCCAGACCCGAAGGACGCTTACAGAGCTCGGTTATTTTCGCTTGCTGCTTTTTGTTGTTGTATCCACGGTAATACAATCACGATATATATATATATATATATTATATATATACTTCTTAAATTACACAATCAATGTACAAAAAACCAGGGTGCATTGCTGAGACAGGTGGTTGGTTGGGTTTTTTCTGACTTTTTTGTGGTTTTTTTCCTGTTTGCGTACTTGGCAGGGGACGCGGGGCCGGGTGGTACTCGCCCACCATGCCCGGCACATGGTGCATCTCCTGCCTCCGCGAGAACACTTGAGCCCTGGGGCCAAAAAATTCACGAACCCACAGAGGGAGCAGGAGACAAGCGGGAGGGGCGTGCAGGAATATGATGGCATCGATGCTGCTGAGGGTGATGGTATGGAAAAAAATGAGAGATGACCTGTAGGGAAGAGCTTGGGATGGCAAATGTGCCCGGGGCAGAGGGGTTGGGGTCACCATGTTGGGTGGCAGCACCCATGGGTGCTGAGGGGGTCCTGTCCACGCTGTGGCCGGTTGCAGACCCCAAGTGCAGGAAGGGTAGAGCCCCTTGGAGAAAAGCAGAAGGCAGAACCTGTGGCTGTTCCCCTGCTTTGGTGCAACTTGTTCTTCGCCGTCTTTGCCAGGCAGCTGCTTTGCTACCCAGGCTGGGGTCTGCTGCCTGCACCGAGCCTTCCTCATCCTCCGGCTGGCTGCAGCTCCTGCCGGCAACGTGCAAAGCTGGAAGTTGCTTATCCCCCACCCCTGCTCTGCTCCTGCCTCTCTTCAGGAAGGCAGTTGGATGGGGACTGTCCCCAGCAGCATCCAAACTGGTCCCCGCTATCCCAGGCTGGGCGTGAAGGTGCTTCCAGTGGCATCGGGCTGGGGTGGGTCCTTCTCCAAACAGCATTTTAGGGCCATCTCACCCTGGATGTGGTGTGCGCTGGATAACTGCCCTCGTGAAGGGCGATGCTGCTCCCTGTAGCACATCCGGACCATCAGCTCGGGAACCTCCACCCACACCAGACATGTTGACAGCCCAGTCGTGAGGAGGAGGAGGAGGAAGCTGAGGAGCTCCATAGTAGGGCTGGTCCCACCTTGCCTGGGTATCAATCTGCCACCAGCCCTGCCCATGAGCACGGACATGCCCACGGATGGGGCCAGGTGGCTGCGGGGCAGGAGGGGACGTTCATCTCCTTCCTTCGGGGAGGGAGGATGAACCGGGGAGAACAATGCGGAAACACCAAAAAAAAATGGAGTCAGACTCCAATCCCTCTCGCTTTTTGGGGGGTGAATTTGATTGGTCCCAGGAGCTTCAGCGCCATGCATTTTGGAACAGTTCCAGCCAATCAGAAGGCGGCTCATGATTTCAGTATCTTTAAAAACCAACCAATCAGGAGCTCTCACTGGTTGGGCTTTAAGATCTTGAGGTATCAGCTTTTCGCTCAGAAAAAAAATCAACTAACGTAGACGAACGGACAACGTCATCTTTCGCTTCACGTTATCTTAGAAGAAGAAGAAAGCGACTATGCAAAATACTCTTCAGAGACAACTCTTAAAAAAATAAAAGCTTGGTCGGAAAATATGTCTGAATCTCTAACTGTGAGGAGTGAAGGACCAGACGGCAAAATGGCTGGTTGGCTGGTGGAGAGATGGAGACAACGGAGGGTGGATTTATCTGCTGACGGCGACGAGGAGCACACCACAAGACTTAGATTGCCTCCACGTAGTTGGCGGGGTAGAGACCTAGCTGCCCGTTGTCCAAGCGCCCTTTGCACCATCCTTGCTCATCTTCTTCACCAAGTTTGGTTAGTTCATCACCTGGAGAGGAAGGCAGAAAGGGGAGATATCATTGCAGCTGTTGGAGCTTCTTCTGCCACCCTGTTTCTCCCCTGGCTGGAGCTGCTGGGGTTTTCTAGGACTGATCCTGAGCATGCCGGTTTGTAGGGTAGAAAGGCAAGGGGTCACCCATGAGACCTCATGTGCCCTGTCCCACCATCTGTCTGGTCCCAGCTGGGTCTGGGCTCAGCTTGTGCCTTCCCCTTTCTGCCAGTTCAACTTTTTGAAGGGCTGGGATAACTCAGAAATTATTTGAGGGATTTCACACCAAAATGTGGGGGACCCGCAGCTCCGGCAGACGAGCCCCAGCCGACCTGGCACCAGTGATGGACGGTACCTGCTTTGAAGCTGAGCTCATCCTGCTCCTGCCCATCGTAATCATACAGAGCCCGCACCCGCACGCCCTTCCCCGCCGACTCCTCGTCGAAGGGGTTGGTGCCGCCGTTGGCCTCGCTGGTGTTGAAGGAATTGCTGCCTTCGTCATCGGACCACTCGGCACTGTAGGTCTGCCCACGGTCGTGGCTGCTCACACTGGGGTGGGGGAGAAAGGGGGAGAGGGGCCGTCAGAGCGGGCAGGAGGATGGTGGGGTGGGCAGGCACCGTGTGCTGCCGGCATCTGGGAGGATGCTGCAGCTTCCCCAAGGTTACAGGGGAGTGGGGGCTGCAGTGAGCAGGACTCCCAGCTAATGACATGTCCAACAAGTCATGGAGGGAGGACAGAGAAGAGTGGCGGCTGTCACCGAGGACATCCCGCGTCGCCTTGCGTGTCCCCACAGCACTGGCAACGTTTGCACGGGCAAACGCCATGCCTTTCCCATGGCATGTCCCCTCCCTGCTGGCCCTCACCTCCCACGCTCGCCCGCCGGTGCCCCCGTCTCGCCCGTGCTGCTGGCGTTGGTCAGGGTCACTCCCTCGCCCTTCTTCTGCTTCTCCTTCCGCGTTATCGTGTGCGTCAAGTCTGGGTTCCACTCCTGCAAGCACAGAACAACCGGCGCCTGAGCGCCCGGCTGCCCTGCTTGGCTGCCTGCACCCCAACTGGGATGCCCAGCCTCACCTCGAACTGGGGCCAGTTCATGGGCATCCCGGGGCCACTGGTGCTGCGGAACCACCGGAGATCCTCCTGCGCATCTGAGAGGCGGATGGTCTGCTCCAGCTCTCGATAGACGTTGGCGTAGCTGCGAGGAGAGACGTGGGTCAGGGTGCTGCAGGCGGGGGTGGACCCCAGTGGGGTGCCCCAGGGATGGGGTGGGATGGGGACATGCCTAGGTCGTGTCACCTCCTACAAGGCACTGGGGGACATCAGACTCCCACACAACCCTCGGGCCGCTCTGGTACCTCTTAGTGACCATCACGTTGGCCAGAAACCCCTCCGCCTTGTATTGAGGGAATGGGTTGTCCTGGAAGCACTCGGTCCCTCCAGGGCTTGGTTTGCTTTCCAGGCAGCACAAGGAGACCTTGTGTAGGTACTTTCTGCCCAGCCAGCGCAGGAGGCACCTACCTGCTGCTCTCGGCCAGGTTCAGGTGCCTCTTGATGTCCAGGAGCACTTCCTTGAGGAAGCTGAGCCTCTTCTCCTCAAACTGCTGGCACTGCTCAAAGACCTGCTCCATGCTCTCAATGTACTGCGGGGTGCACTTGTTCAGCTCGTCCAGCACCTTCTCGTACTTCTCCTGAGTCTGTGAAGGTGTGGGAGGGTACCTTGGTTATACCTCAAGCACCTCAGAGGCCCTTTTTGGGTACTGAGAGGTTATGGTTTGTGGGTCACCATGCTGGGGAGCCCAGACTGAGGCAAGAGCCTCTATGGGTGAAATCAGTCTGGTTGCCAGAGAAATTTTGCCCCAGTAAAAGGGGTAAATCTTTGTCCTGCTCACACTCCTCAGCACTGCCTGCAAGTCCTCACCCTTCTACAGGAGCATAGGGATGGGAAAACGGGAATGAATGGATGGGAAAGGGGTGTGGTGGCCATTTCCACTGGTTTTCCCTGCCTGATGACTTGTGAGCCTGGAGCAGGGCAGCGGCTCGCACCTTTTGCACATCTTGCTTGCACTTTTCCACTTTGTCCTGGAGCTTCTTCTGCTGCTCAGGGGTATTGGACTGCTCTGCCTTGCTGTTGGCTTCCCGGGTCATCGCCAGCTTCTCTTCCTTGCATGCCAGGTGGTAGGCTTTCTTGGCTGTCTCCAGCTGCAGAGAGGAGAAAGAAAAGACATCAGAGTAGCAGTCACAGCATCCCTCTGCCTGCGGGGAGGTGCCATCCAGCTCTCCCAGCCTGGACCGGGCACCCAGAGCTGGAGCTGGGAGATGGCACGGGTGCCCCAGGGCACGCTGCGCTTCTCTCACCTCCTTGAGCTTCTTGGCCCAGGGCTTCTGGGCTTTCCGGAATCCATCCTCAGCCTCCTTGGCCTCCTTGAAGCCTCCCATGATCTGCTTGTGGTAGGCATCCTTCTGCCAGTTCTTGACCTTCTCGAAGTCGTCATTCAGCAGGCTGTTCTTCACCTCCTGGTGCAGCTCGCTCACCTTGTCCGCCTCTGTCATGATGGCACCCCATGCCTTCTCCAGGCTGCCGTACTGGGGACCTGGGGGGCAGAGGGGACAGCTGAGTGTCATTCCACAGCCCTTACCCCCTCCACCTCTACCAGATGAAGCTGTGATGGTGCACGGGGACCCATGGGACCCAGGTGTCCTGGGGGGGGTGGACTCCCCCTGAGGAAGCCACAGTACCTTTCTCAATGAGCTGCCTCCACCGCTTGGACCAGTCAGTGAGCTGCTGGGCGTAGGACTTCTCAATCTTGGCCCGCTCGTGCACGCAGTTCATGAGGTCATTGCAGAGCCGGTGCCCGTCGTCAATCCGCTTCACCGTGCGCTTGTAGTTCCCCACCTGGGAGGAGGATGGGGATGGGGATGGGGATGGGGATGGGACAAGGACAGGCAGGCATGGGAGCTGTGGCCAGGCTGCCTGGCTCAGCCCCAGCTGGGGATGGGGGAGGCACTGGGCACTTTGGGGGTGCAGGTATGGAACTGTTGCTTTGGGGCTGCTCAAACCCCACTCCTTTCGGTCCCCTCCATCACTCTGTGCCCCTCGGGGTCAGCCAAGTTGGAGACCTCCAACAGAGCTGGCTCGAACACTGGAGCCACCGCAGCAGGGATGCCCAAAGGCAGGGCTTGCTGCAGGAGGGGAGGGCAGCGCTGTCCCCCCCCAGCCCAGGGGACACCCTGGGATGCAGTGACGGTGGTGGGGGCTCCACGGGAGGAGAGCGTGGCCAGGACTCACCTCCCAGAAGCTGTCGGTTGTTTCCTCCGCAGCCGCTGCTGACTCGTCGTAGGAACCCGACATGGCTCCCGGCGCTGCCTTGGGCGTCAGTGCGGGCACTGGGTGACTCTCGGGCAAACACCAGCCTCATGCACTGAGGGGAGAAGAGGGGGGAGTCATGGCGGGGGGGGTGAGCAGGGGACCCCCATCCCTCCTGCCCGCAGCACCGCAGGACAAGCATCCATCTGCAGAGGACGGGGATGGGGATGATGCCCATTCCAGCTCTGGACCCACAGACCCTTCCAGTGCCTGCCACGCGCCACTTGCTGGGTGCCATCCAAACCCCCCAAAGCTGGCTGTGCTGGGAGAGAGAATCGGGGGGAGCAGCACGGCGGGGAGCTCACCGGCCAGGGGCCTGGCTCGGCACCACGCGACCCTGGGGAGCCACGGCGTGGGGCGAGAGGCCGTGGCAGGGCCAGGGCGGGGGGGATGCACTGCCCAAAGAAATTCTCGACCCAATATTCCACCCTAATCCGTCCTGATCTTCAGAAAAACGGCATCCCCGGAGCGTCACGTGGCCCCGCTGCATGGCTTAACCCTTTGCCGCTTTGCCGAGAGCTGCAGCTGGGGATGGGGATGGGGGCTGGTGGGTGGCATTGGATGGGGATGGAGAGGGGACCGCGGTGGCCGTGAGCATCCTCATCATCCCCATCCTGCCCCAGATCCGGACAGTTCTTACACAGGAAAGCGCTGGGCCTGTCCCACATGGCATCTGCCCCAGCATAGGGACAAAGTGGCCATGAACTGCCCCAGTTTCCTCTTGCCACATCCCCAAAAGGGCTGTGGGAGTGGGATGTGGCTGTGGTCCCTGTGCACCATCACTTCACCCGGGAGATGGAGCAGGCAGCAGGAGACCTGCATCCCACCCTGCACCTGGGAGAGGGTGATGGGGTGGGAAGGCAGGGCTGGGGGGTGCGGCGTCCTGGTGCCCCAGTGCCCACCCATGGGGAACAGTTTGGTGGGTGCCCACGCTCTCCAGCTGTGTGCACAGCTGGCCCCGAGGAGCCCACAGGCTGGGGCAAGGCATGGCCCCAGGAGGACGGGGGACCGAAACGGTTACTAGAGCGCGGCGCAGGGCTCGTTGTGCTGGAACTAACAGGGCCTGGCAGGGATTTAGTGATATAACCAGGGAGGCACCAATCCCCGCCGCCCTCCCCAGCCAGTTAAAAATAAACGCATGACTGTCCCTCGCTCAGCCGCCGAGACGCAGATGGATGGGGGACCGCGGCGCAGCCAGCACCGTCCCCCCGCAGCCGGCAGCACGTGGCGCCCGCGCCTGCCTGGCACCCACCACCCTCCCCACCCGTGAAAGCGCCCAACCCCAACACCCACAGGCTGCCCCAGCGCACCCACAGCGGTGGCAGAGCACCCGGTGGCACAAACCCCCGAGGGACCCCGAGCCCGCAGCGTGCCATGCGTGGCCGTCCCTCCTGCAAGCCCCGGGCACAGTGCAGCGCTCAGCGGCCGGGGTCTTTGCTCGTGCCCCTGGTCTCTGTTTTTTTGTTTTGTAGCAGAGGCTGCTCTGGCACGGCAAGGGCACCCTTGGGGTGACAGCCCCAGCCCGGGGCTGGGACAGGGACCCTGGGGAGGGAGCACACCTATGGCTGGGGGTCCCCTGGGACCCACGGGCATGTGAGCCGGCCCCAGCCGCCCCCACCAAGCCGGCAGAGCTGAGGCCGTGGGGCACTGAGGGACGTGGCTGCCGCAGCTCCTGCTCTTCACCGTTACCTGGTCTCAGCCACGGCCCTGGGGGTTATTTTTGGCTCTGCATCACTTCCCAGCTAACGCTGCCGCCTTCGTGCCGCTCTCCTGCCACGTACCCCCCCCTCGAGGCGCGACCATCCTCGCACGCCCCCGCCCAAGCCCGGGCCCCCCCGCCACGCTGGGCCGCCCCGGCTGCCAGCACAGCGTGTGCCGACCCCTCGCCCGCCGCCCCGGCACCGCCGGCGCAGCCCATCACTTCGCATCAAGGCGGCTGGCGGTGATGCCCGGCGCCCGCAGTGCCGGCGGCCGAGCCGCGGCATGGCGAGTTGCCAGCCCCAGCCACGTGCTGCCACTTGGGCACCCTCGGCCGAGGGGGCTCCGCTTCGCTCCCCCCCCCACCCCCAGCCCTACGTTTCCACGAAGCCGCCGGAGAGAAGCCGCAAAGGGTTTGGCATCGAGCGACGGTGAAGGGTGTCCCAGCTCCTGCCCCCGCGTGCCCTTGGGTTGCTCCCCCAGCAGCCGCCCCCCCCCCCCCCGCATCTCTTCCCCCGTCGGCCCACTCGGTGCTGAGAACCGCCGCAACTCGCCTCACCCACCAGGCAGCTCCTGCCGCTGCCGGTGTTGCAGAGGGGTCTCTGCCCTCCGCGGGGGCCGGGGACGCGGCCGCCGACCCTTACGCAGGCGGGAGGCTGCTGCAATGCAGAGGACTGGCGCTGCCGACGCTGCGGGCATGGGCAGCTGCCTGTACTCCCACAGCCGGCAGCCCTCGCTGGCGGTGCCCTGTCCCCATGCAGGCAGAGACAGCCCGGTTTTGCTGTCCCCTGCCCCTGGCAGAAGAGCCTGGGTGCCTGGAGCATGGAAGGGCTGCAGAGCTTTGGGTCAGTGCTGCTCCAGCATCCATGCTGGCTGCCTCCCTGCCTCCTCTGGCTCCCCAGGGCCCAGGAAGGGCGAGAGGGACAAGCTGGGTACCCTGGGGGGGGCGAGCTGGGCCACTGACTCTCCCTGCTCTCTTTGCCTTTGCCAGAGCTTTGCCTTTGCTGTAACACCGCCATTAAACGCGCAACCCTCCCGGTAGAGCGGCCTTGGGGTGCGCTGTCGAATGGGGGTGCCCCATCCTGGGCTCTGGGGTCCCCGGTGAGGTGCCAGGCATCAGCCCCAACCCCAGGGAGGCTCTGTTCGGGCGGCAAGTTGCTCTGCCTCCAGGTTTTTTGGCTGCCTTGGCCCCAGCACCTCTGCTGCAGCCAAAAAGCAGGTGATGGGGACGTGATACAAGGAACAGGCAGCTGCCTGCACGTGTCCCCATCCTGCCTGCTTCCACATCGGCTGAGCCTGGTGGGGACCAGGGGCCAGGAGGGGCTGCAGACCCTCAGGGTGCGGGTTCTCCTGCTGCAAAGAGCCCTTTGCAAAGGCAGGACGGTGGCAGATGCGCTGCAAGGAGGGGAGGGGAGCAGAGAGCCAGCCTGTGTCCCCATCCCTGTCCCCATCCTGTCCCCCAAGGCAGGAGGTTCCCACTCGTGGTAAACGGGAGGGGGCCGGGTGTCAGCCCTGCTGTGGGGGTGCGAGCGCTAACAGGGCTGGGAGGGGAGTCAGTGACTAATTATTGGTGAAACCACCCAGGGAAGGGGGAAGCCATGCTGGGAGCTGCGCTTGATCTGCAGGGATCAGGGCAAGCAGGGAGCTCCCAGACACCAAACCCGAGCACAAACCGATGCAACGCACGACGTTTCCCTGGTGTAAACTCCTTCTGCAGCCGCAGCATCCTGACACGGAGCCGTGGCCCAGCCCGGCCGGTGCCACCCAAGCCGAGGGCACTGAGGACCCTTGCTTGCCGGAGCACGTGAGCTGGGGACGGGACAGTAATTTGCTGCACGCTGTTGCCTTGTAGTTACCCGGGGACTCCCGGCAGTAAAGCTGAAGCTCAGCAATTGGAAAGGACCCAATGCTCTGAGCCAGTTTTATTGCAATTAAATGCTAGGACTGACCTGGCCTGTCTAATCAAACTGTCTATGGGCTGCAATGTGAAATATTTGCTACATTTTGGCTCCTTTTGTAAGCACACAAGGCCGATGAGTGCAGGAGTTTAGGGGGAGGGAGTCAGGCTGGGGCTCAGGTTTTTGGCCATGGGGAAGGTCATTTGCTCTCCCTTATCTCAGCACGAGGCTGGTCGAGGGTCTGTCGGGGGGATGCAGCACCAAATGCCACCGTGACGCACCACAACTATCACCACATGAAAACCACTCGTGGCAAAGACAAATGGACTAGAAATGGCCAAGGAAGCCCAGGGGAGCCCAGCAACAGCATCTCCCACCACACAGCAGCAGCTCTGGGGCTGCCATGCAGCTGTATCGGCTGCCGGCGGTACCCATCCTCAGGACCGCATCCACCGTGGGTACCAATGCCCATGTGCTGCTCCCGCTATGGCCAAGTGTGGGGGGGTGAGATCCCCCTGGCACGATGGCAGGTCCTTGGGCAAAGCTGGTGATGCTGATGTGCTTCGCCAGAGGCTTTGCAGCTGCAGGAGCTCAGCTTTCACTGTGGGTTTCCCACCGGCGCAGGGCTGGTCCGTGCAACCCACAGGGCTGGCAAGGGTCGCAGCCCAGGGAGCGAGGGGGGGTGCAGAGGCGTTTGGCTGTGGCATGACTGAGCTGTTCCACACCCCCCCAGAGCCGACATGGACCCTGGAAGGAAACGGTTAAGCGGGTGCTGCTGATTCACGCTGGCAGCTCCGCACCAGACACTGGGTGAGGAGGCAGGAGCAGAGCCGAACCCAGGGCTCAGCAGCCTGGAGGGGCGTGAGCGGCCTGAACAAGCATCCTCCCCCTTCATTATCAAACCGAGCCCAAGGCCAGGCGGGAGGTGAGCCTGGGCCCTTCCCAAGCCACCAGATCCACGCGAGCAGGCTGCGAAAAGCTCATGTCAGGGCTCCATCCTGCATCCCCTGGCAAAACTCCTCTGGCTGCAACATGAGCAGGGTTGGAGCCCTGGGGCAAACAGCCAAACTGTGGCCAGAACCGTGGCCAGACTGGAGGGGACGGGTGTCCCCCATATGGAGGGTGCTTCTCTGCGGGATTTAGGCCAGGGCAGTGCCGTGGGGTTGGCCTGGACCCAGTACACGCAGTTGCTTGAGCGGTGCACGAGGTGGCTGCGAGGGCAGCAGGTTCTTGGAGGTGGCCTGTAGGTAACGTTGGGAAACTTCTGGGAGCCATTTTTCCAGTGAATCCTGTGCAGGATGCGCTTGTGGCAGCTGCCTTGTTTCAGCCGGGGTCATCTGCATTGACCAGGGGGGTCTGAGGATTGGGGGGGGTCTGGCTGCAACAGGGACTTGCTGGAGCCTGGCAGGTCAGGGCTTGCAGGCTCCCCAAAACCAGAGCGTTTGCAAAGTAGGTTCAA